TAACATTCCCACACTTCAGTACATTTCTAAAAGTATTAATATATCATTTCTATTTCTGAATTTTGAAATACTTTTTGTTTCTAAACTTGCCACCATTTCAGTATTTTAAATGGTAATAAGAAAATAAATCATAATTACGATTAATAAATATATGTATACATACTTACGAATTTAGTAAGTATACTTGTACTTTAAAAAATATATTATTATTAGTTATATATGTATAATAATAATATATATTATACTTAAAGGTATTGCACGTAATATATATATATATATATATATATATAAATGTAATACTTTTGAAAATATAAGTTATTGTATATTTATTTGCTTAATTAACATTGAGTTAGTGATTTTGAATAAACAGTACAAATTAACAACTTTAACACTATAAAACCAAATAAAAATTTTATTTTTTTTTTAACATTAATGTATTCAAAAAATTAATTTACATATTTTGGGGTACTAGAAACTTCAAATTGTACATCTATTTTCTATTAAAAACTTTGTATATCATTATGGAATACGTTTTTTAGGTATAAACTACATTTTATTCATTAAAAATTTTTTTATAATATGGATTGTATAAATTTTATACTAAAAAAATTAATATATATTAATATATTAATATTATATATTATATATAAAGTTTTATAAAAAAAAAAACAAAAAATTTAAATAAAAAAAAAACCAAAATGCAAAAAAATATTATTTTATTAATTTACACAAAGTAAAAGAATACGAGAATAAGCAGAAATCGAAATTCTTTTCTTGTTCTAAATGTTGTACATATATGTAAGTTAACACCAACGGTCTCTCAAATCCGGCCCTTGCGATTGGTTTCATTATAGGTAGAATCATGCGATATTATTCGAACGCCTGATTGCTACTTGAGCTATTAATTGAACTACACATAATAATTAAATGTTCTTTTTATTCTAATAATAAAAAACTGTGTAACTAAAAACTTGTTTATTATATTTTAAATAACTAACTTGTATCTTCAGATGGATCTGTAAGAGATAAGAGAGAAAGAACGGGGTACTAGCTCCCATTTGAGCAGAGCACTGCCACCATGATTGATCTTTTGTGCTTCACCAGACCCTAACTGAATAGAAGACATTGCGTCTTCCGGATGAAGGCTAAAATGTCGGCCGTTTTCTTTTCTTTTTTTTATATATTGTAATCACTTAAAAATCTAACAATAATTATTTAAATCTTACATATTAAAAATATTCATTCAAAGTTTATGTCAATACCTAAACTTTCCTTATTTAAAACGTAAAGATTCTTAATTTTTGATTTCTAAATTTTTAACTTAATGTGTTAATACATTTAAGATGCATTAAGGTATGCCGGTAAAACTGCTCTTTTGAGACGGGATATATTTCTTGTTCTGTCAAGAAATTGTGCGAGTGGGTTTGGATGTACCATTATTTTAGTGTCATATTTCTGCCGTAAGAGGGCTAAATCGTCTTTGACTAGAGACACTTGAAGGTCTATAGCATATGTATGATGGAATTTCTGAGGAACTACGGTGCTTCTGTTAATGAACGAAGTATTTTTGACTGAATGCGTAGTATAACATCGATATTTGCGAGCTGGCTTTATCCCAGAATTGAGTCCCGTAACTCCATATGAGCTTAATCGTAGTTTTATATAACAGGACTTTATGAACAAGCTGTAATCTTGAGTTTTTATTGAGTGACCAGGAGCTTTCTTTATTTGAATCTGGCCAATAATTTTCTTGACATCATAAGGACTGACTTTTATTAGATTGCGAACACTTTCCGCATTTCAATTTCCTTTGGGCCTTTTAATCGCATAGTGGCTTTCCATAATGACAGTTTATCTTTTCCGGACGTTGAGAGATTATCTGTAAATTTCTGTATATTTTCGTCCAGTTCATTATCTAAAGTTTCTTTTAAAAGCTTACCTTCTAGATTAAACATTTACCACGGACTGCAGCTGCGGTTATAACAGTCGTTAGATCATACAAGGCTAAGTCCATATCTGTTGCATTTCTGAGCTTAGGTTTTAAGTTTATGTGACTACTAATGTATTTTCGGTATTTAATCCAGTTAGTTTGTTTGAAGTTAAGTTTAAATGTATTTCGTAGCAGAGTGCTTTATTTGAAACAGTTACCAGGACAGGCGAGGCGAGTTTACCTAAAAAGGTAAAATCAAGGTTCATTTGGCGATTTTAGAGTGCTAAGTAAGGGCTTTTGCGTTTAGGTTTAATAAGCCGTGAGTCCCAGTGCAACTATAAATGTTTTGCAAAGTGTTTTAAATAATTCGATAAATTGCGTGTGAGTTACATTAAACCTGGGTGGGCAGTAAACTGACGATATTACTATAACTTCGTTCCAGCATTTAAGACAAATGGACGTGGCTTGCAAATAATCCGTAGCGAATTTGTTAATGTTTTAGACGATTTTTGATTAAAACTGCTATACCTCTCCGAGCCTTGTTGTCTGGGTGATTAGTATGATAAAATTTATATCAGGTATAGAGAAGCGATTTTTATTTGTTAAATGAGTCTCGGATAAGAGTAAGACGTCTATTTCACTCGTGTTTAGAAATAATTGGATTTTACGCTTTCTTTGGCTTACGCCATTGCAGTTCCGTCGACATATTTTTATGGAGTTCCTTTTGAAACAATAGAGTTTAGTAATTCCTGCTGAATTTTATGGAGTTCATGGAACATCGATTGCATTGAAATTATAAGCTGATTAATTTGTGAAATAGAGTTTGCTAATTGAGCAATCACCGTCTGTAGAGTAAGGAGTATGGTAGAGTACGATTGAGTAATATTGCTTGGTATGTTAGAAGAGTTTTTCATAACGTTTGCAGTGAATTCATTAGTGTTAGTTGTTACAATAGAAGCGACCATTGGGTTAATTGTTTATTGGTATATACAAAATTATGTGGCGAGATCTTAGGTCCATTGGTAATTTTATTCAAGTCATTGTAGACGGGGCACCCTCTATAGTTTGCTGTAAGAGTACCTTTTCAGTTTTTTTCATTTCATTTCATAAAAACATTATTTCCATTTTTAGCTGGGCAATTGAACGAGACATGCAGCTGTCCACAAATCAAACAGACTGAGCGTAGGGGGCAATAGCGTTTGGTGTGTCCATATTTGAAGCAGTTATTACATTGAACTATATTTCTACGTGTGTGTAACATGACATAGATTTTTATATATGAACATTCTCATGAGATATTAGTATATCCATTTTTCAACATTATTGTGAATAAGGTATGTTATATAATCTTTCTAGAACAAAATGAAGGCTTAGGACTATGAAGGAGTCTTGAGCTTTATATTCACATTTATATTCACAAACTTTCTGTTTACGTTGTTTTACTTATTCAGGAAAAATTATTTTGGATGAGCAATATAAAATATATGCAAACGCATTTTGGTGATCCAAGAGTTACAATTACTCAATCACATCAATGTAGAAGCTATTCAACTACTGGATCAACCAATGAATTGAGAGGCCTAAAGCGAACAAAACCTCCTGAGTTAATATAGATAATATTATATTATAAATTATTTGTGTGAGAGCTGAACACTGGTTCAGTAAACTTGCACACGTATTACTTAATATCTATTAAGTACAATTCAGCAATAGTAATAATATTAACAAATAGTTAATATTTACTACTCATATCCAATAAAGAATGTTTAAAAAAAATTATTAAATAAATAATGAAGTATTATGGGGTTACTGTTGATTCTGGTAATACTTAAGGAGATCTTATTGGTTTGAAGCCCGACTTTTCATCAGACATAACAGAAATTAAAGACAACAAGTAATAGACAACATCAGGAAAATTATTATGTTGAGGCTATTAGAGGTAATGCACTTGAGCACTTCTAATCTCTACTAACTGCGAGGATTCTTCATAACTCCTCTCTACGCCTTGACTGGATTATTGTTTATCACTTCATCAAAACTTTTTCTTTTCTTTTGTATAAAGTTGGATTGAATAATGCTAGAGTAAATGCTAGAGTTTCGTCAATTAGTGAATTTTTATTGGCGGTATATCTACCAATTAAAACGTCATTATCTATCTACCAATGAATTATTGTAGATTTCGACAACACTAATGTAGGCACTATTAATTTAAATCCCTAGCTTTAATCAGATAATTCTGAAATTGAAAAGTGCAAATAAAATTTATTATCGATAGAAAAATACGTTTTTTTTAAATTTTTGGTTAAAATTAGTATTTCATAAGATAATGAAATCATACTTCAATGGTGGTACGTTTTCAAGTGCGCATCTCACCGATTTAATATATTTCGAATAAACGCCATTTTTTTTAATTTTCTTGGAATTTTTTCATATAGAGTAATGGTTGAATATTACATTTGATATTACTGGGTATTTCGCCATTGCGTGCCAAATATGTACGTTGTTAACTTCGGTGTCAGGCCTTGTACTTTCTCAAGTTAAATAATAATTATTAATAGTCCCAAATAAAAATTTTCTAAAAATTTTATATATCTTAATTAAGACGCTAAACTATTTTGAAAAACTGTACATTTGCTGAATGTGAAACACGTGCGAAGAATGATGGAAAGAGAACGCTATACGAATATAAAATTTAGAGTGAAATGCCACTCTTGCTGTGAAATGCCACACTTGCGTAAGTATTGTCAGGTTTTAGTACCAAAGCATATAGAAAATATAAGTTATCACATTTATAACAGCCTATCTGGATACTCTTATTATATTTTGCAATTCCCGGTTTTTACTCTGTTATTCAGTGATCGAGCTTTGTATTACTGAATAACAATAAAATCTTAACTATTATATATTAACTATTATATCAAAGTAAAATTTTTATTTTAACTATCAAAATAAAATCTATATGGCAATATTTTTTAAATAGACAGGAGCAACTAAAGATCTAGTCCATTAAATATTTACGAAGTACAGTTTACCATCTTCCGTTTCCTTCTTGTCTGAAACCAACAAGTATTCTCGTCGTTTCTGTTATACGTTTTTACTATATCTTCATAAAATCACATGGAAAATTTTTATAAATACGAAGTATGTATAAAATTTTTGAATATTATATAATCATAAACTTTTACTGTGAATTGATATCTAACAAACATAGATGTGGATATATATATATATATATATGCATATATATGCGTATATAACTATATAACTGAGATAATAACCTTACTTATTTAATTATTTGTGTATATATATTATAAGATATATATATATAAGATATATATATATATAAGATATATACATGTTCATATGTGTTGTTAGTAATTGTATTTTATTAATATATTATTTATTTTTTGTAATATATGTCTGATTAATGATTTTAATCATTATATGTATGTGTTGTGTTAGTGCCTATTTGATTTTAAGATTCTGGTAAATAACCATAGTATTTTATTAATAATATATTAAAGATACCAGAATCCAATCTATTGCAAGATCTGATTGAAGCAACGTTTTCATTGCCTTATGAAGGTTTAGAGATTGACATTGGGACGTGTTGCTACCTGTGGCACGTTCGTGACCATGCTGTTGCAAGGAGTAATAATAAAGCATCAATGAAGAAATCAACTAATATGCATATTCATTCTTTCGGATCATCCGAATTAAATGAAGCATATGCAAATTCTTCTGTAATAAAAAGAAGTTGCAAGAAAGATGATACTGTTTCTGAATATCCAAAACCACATATTCCATATTCTATATTGACGGCACTGGCATTCAAAAATTCTAAAAATCGTGCACTTAAGGTAGTCGATATTTATGAATTTATTAACTCAAATTTTCCATATTTTCGAAGTGCACCTCAAATATGGAAAAAGAATATTCGACATAATGTTTCTATGCATAAATGGTTTAAAAAATGTGTCTCTGGAAAGAATGAGGCTACAGGTCTTTGGGCTATGAATCTAGATTATGAAATAGAATTCACTAAAGTTATAAAAGTATGTTTTGCTAAACATGAGCTTAATATAAGAAATGCCATGATGAATCCTGAAAATTTTGAAAAAATCATGAATGGCGAAATGAAAGGCAACAATGTGGATGCGGATGCGGAACTTATGGATAATTGTAAACAATCTTCCAAAGGGTATTCAGAAACGGTCAATATTGTTGCAGTTAATAATGACATAATTGAAAACAATAAGAATTGTAATGTACTATCTATTGCCGAAGCAAATACTATATTAACTAATGCGACTTCTACTAGTGTAATAAAATTGGCATCCGATATCAGTTGTTTAACATTTGCAAATAGCATTATACATATATATGATACATCAACATTAATCGATTCTATACGTGATCACATTTCAAGTCCATTACCAAATGGCAACACTCAATATGTTAATGAAGTTACAGTATGTAATGCTGAAGAGGGATCAATCGATTCTATACGTAATGTTTCGAGTCCATTACCAGATGACAATACAATACTCATGAATGGTAATGAGGTTACAGAATATAATGTTGCAGAGAGATCACTCGATTCTATACGTGATTACGTTACAAGTCTATTACTAAAGAACAATACAGTACTTATGAACGGCAACACTCAATATGTTAATGAGGTTACAGTATGTAATGCTGAAGAAGAATCACTCGATGACATAAGTAATGTTTCAAGTCAATTATCAGATGACAATACATTACTCATGAATGGTAACAGTCAATATGTTAATGAGGTTACAGTATGTAATGCTGTAGAAATATCACTCGATGCTATAAGTAATGTTTCAAGTCTATTACCAGATGGCAATACGTTACTCATGAATGGCAACAATCAATATGTTAATGAGGCTACAGTATGTAATGCTGCAGAGAGATCATTCGATTCTATACGTGATTCTATTACAAGTCTATTACTAAATGGCAATACGTTACTCATGAATGGCAACAGTCAATATGGTAATGAGGTTACAGTATGTAATGCTGAAGCAGAATCACTCGATGATATAAGTAATGTTTCAAGTCAATTACCAGATGACAATACATTACTCATGAATGGTAACAGTCAATATGTTAATGAGGTTACAGTATGTAATACTGCAGAGAGATCATTCGATTCTATACGTGATTATGTTACAACACTATTACTAAATGGTAATACGTTACTCATGAATGGCAACAGTCAATATGGTAATGAGGTTACAGTATGTAATGCTGCAGAAATATCACTCGATGCTATAAGTAATGTTTCAAGTCCATTACCAGATGGCAATAAGTTACTAATGAATGGCAATAGTCAATATGTCAACGAGGTCACAATCCGTAATACTGTACAAACCGCTACAGGATTTACATCAAAGGACGTGCAGAATCTTAATTTAGGAGCCCATACTTCGAATACGGTTCATTCTTCTCAAACTATTACTAACATCAATACCAATACAATACATATATCTGCAGCTTCAAATGATATTACCGAAGTAACAGAGCCAAGTGTATCCAGAAAACAGTCCCCACAAAAAAATAAGACAACTGTTATGGATATTACAAATTATCCGAAACCTCCGCTTAAATACCCCTGCTTAATAGCAATAGCATTGAAGAATTCGACCAGACGTGCACTGTCACTGTCAGAGATTTATAATTTCATATGCGAACATTTTCCATATTTTCGGTTTGCACATAAACAATGGAAAAGTTCTCTACGTTATAGTCTATCAATAAATAAATGCTTTAAACATTTTGAGAAATCTGCTACAAATGGAACTCAACGTAAAGAACGAATTTGGTATATAAATCCCAAGTGCACAGCAATACTTGATAAAAAAATCAAAAAGTTTTCACGCAAAGAATCAAAGGCTATACGAAATTCAATGCTAAAACCACATAAGTTTACAGCATTGGAACGTGGGGAATTGAAATTTGACAGCTCTGATGCTTCATTTATAGAATTAGAGAATCAATCAAACATTGAGTTTCTATATAATATGTATACTAAAGATGAACGTGACGATAAAAAGATGTTTAGAAGTGAAGATTCAAATCATATGATTGAGGACCTTGACTTAAGTACATCGGAAGATATTAATATTGAGGTAAGATTCCTTTTAACTGTATTATGAAAAAATGTAAAAATGTTGATATAATTGCATTCTCAGATAATTGATATTACACAATTAGATGATGTTGAAATAGAAGAATCTGAGGATATAATTGTAATAGATTAGCAGCTCGAAGAAAATTTTCAAGTTTATCAATCAGTAGATGATGAAGACGTACTAACTGACACCGACATTTAGTTTAAAGGATATTAAAATAAATCAAAATGTATAGTTACAAGCAACAATTGAACAACAAATACAACAGCCATTTATCTTCAATCTAGATAGCTAGTTAATGGAAGTACAGTCACGTAGTTGCAGTCAATTTAACTAAACTATATAATATATTATAAAAATTCATATTTAACATATTTACTACTTAAGATAAAAAGCAATATAAATTTTTAAAATTATATATTCGTTTTTATTAATGTTTTTATTAATAAAGAAATATTACTATTTTCTAGAACTATATATCAGGTATGTTTTTCTATTCTTTCCAATAATTGATATATTCTCATATAAATATATTTTAATATAATAGTATACATAATTTTATATATCATATGTTATCATAATAGATATATGTATGTATAATTTATGAAAAAGCAGCAATTAAGATGGGATTGGACATGTGATAAGAATGTCGGATATGAGAGTACCACTTAAGGTTTATGAGAACGAAGTAGGAACCAGCAGTGGAAGAGGGCGACCAAGAAAACGATGGAAATATATTGCGCAGCAGGACATAGATATATCTGTAAACATTTTAGAATGTTTTAGATATTTTGTCACAATATGTTATAAAAATACGTTTTCGCATTTCATATAGTCAATTATTCATATACGAAAATAATTTACATAAAAAACAAAACAGTTTCATCTTAAGTCCAGTGATTTTCTTATGAAAATACACATTATGAATTCATCAAAAGAGACCGCGTGAACACTGCAAGGCTTACTGCAGTACTTACTGGTCATTGGTGTGTAGAAACTCATGCAGAGAAACTGTGCATTTCCCATAATCCTCACTGCATAAGTTGTGGAAATCCGCAGGAGAAATAAACCATAGTATATTTTCTCTGTAAATAACCGGCTTTGGCGTCCAGGAGATATAGGTTCTTAGGAAGATACTTTTTTGATAGTTTGTCAGACTGTTCATCGGTGAAGAAAAAATACCTAATAAATTACCAAAATTCGGCGGGATGGATTTAGTCTCTACTCTTCTACACTAGGGTTCTTGCGAGGAATGTGGTAACAAAACGGCAAAAAATCGCTAATTGAGGTACATGAAAGTTATATAATCACACCCTACCAAATAAGCAAATTACCATATAAATTCGTTACAAGATATACATATATTAAATCTGATAAATTCTATGTGGCAGCCTAATATAAAACTTGGTGATTAATGAAAGTAAGATTGTGATTAATTTTTTAACAGCATATATATGCTTCAGTCTGAGCCTAAACGAGAATATTTATTCAGGAAGTTTCATTCCCTACTTACTTTTAGAATATAAGGATATTTGTTTCTTTATTTGTAGAGTTAAATGTGTTCTATTTAGTTAGATTCAGTTAGCAGTACAAAATATCTGAGATAGTCACAGCGTTCCTCTGCATTCGGAACCATTATCTCGTTTATCTCTGATATCCTCGTTTATTATTTATGTTCCTTTATTTTAACCTATAAGTTATCAGATTACTTACTTGCTTTTTAGGTAAATATCGCCTATCCCCTTTATGATTTATTTTCCTTTATTTTAACCTATAATTTATCAGATATATATACATATATCTCTTAGCAATGCAAAGTTATACAATTGTTTTTACTCATACATTTATTTGGAATGTAAAATAAAACTTATCTAAGACATATAAATTTTTTATGATATAATATATTATTATTCATTGAGCAACTTTGATTTTTAATGATTTTTAATAATTTGATAAAATTAATTTTTTGTAGACATTTAATATATAAAATATTATTTTAATGTTTTACAAATATTTTAATGTGCTCATTTAGTTTTTGGTAGAATTTTTAAAATTATTCTTAAACATATTATTGTTATATACAAACCCATGCGATTTTATTTTAAATATATATAATTGTTCTTCTGTGCAAAATATATATTATTCTTAATTTTATTTTAGCAAAGCATATTTATATTATATTATTTAAAAAGTTATATTAGTTTCATAAATAATTTCAATAAAAATATTGAACTCAGTTTGAAATACAATTATTTTATATTAAAATGAAATGTTACATAAATTTATATAAGTTTTTGAAAAAGTTAAAATTTTTTTAATTTTATAAAATCCAAAAATATTTTTCTTAATACTCTGATTTTATATAAGTTTTCATTATTTTATAGTGTATTTGTATACATTTAAATTGTAAAACTGATTTATTTTTTAAATGTTGTAAACCAAATGGGTCTCCAAATGTAGCTCGATCGTATTGTTATTATTAAGAGTATCTTAATTTTATAAATATTTTAAAGGACTAGCATCATTTTACAAAATTTTCATAATTTTTTATCGTAAAAATTTAAATAAATTTTTTTTTATAATTAATGTAATTATTATTGTGTAATATTAATATGACAATATTAAATAATAATATAATATTATTTTTATATAATATTATTATTATATAATATTATCAATTATTTATATTAAACTTTTGTTGCACATATATAATAATTAATAATTCTATTTATCTTAAAACTATTTCACATAAAAATATCATAAAATATATTTAAAAAAGTTACACATTTGCACATTTAAGGCCCGTACGTATATTTTGTTTACATATATAATATATTCATGTAAATTATGTAAATAAATAGTTTACATTAACTGATTTAAAATTATTTGCAACCCATGTATTCAGCTATTTTTTTTTTTTGTTATAACTTATTAGAAATTATAACATCATTTTAAAATTAAGAAAACAAAAGAATTTATTGGAATAAAGTATTTAACAACAGAATATTAGTTTTTTTATTATATATAATAAAATCTTATCAATACATTCTTTTGATATGATTTGAGTAAATTCCACGTAATTTAAAACAGCAAAACAGAAAAAAATTTTTAAAATTAATTAAAATTTTTAAGTTAATCTTTGAAATGAAGATTAATGATTATTTATTATTAATTAAGTGGGGAATACTAACACTTCGACACAATTTCTATAGACCTAACAGACCAAAATGGTATATTTCGTTATTGCTTTCTGTCTATCAAGCTACCATGACAACTTCGAGGAAGGCGTATCAAGTCGATTACGACTATAAAACAATATTTGGTGGAGTAAAAGGCAACACCTTATTCAGCATGCAAAAATTGGGAATGAGATTAAGATCAGCTTGTTAGGGACTACTTCAAAGGTGACAAAATTAACTCATTTTAATTGAAGATTTATTTGTGTTTTATTTAAGAATTTCAGATACCTTTTTTAAAGATTGGAAACTATAAAATTTTCTACGAATGAGGATATTTTTAGGAACTAATCAATGCTAGATTTTTAACGTTATGCTTAAACGGTAAAGATCTAAGCAAAGATCAAAAGGTTCTCAACAAATCATAAGACAAACAATTTCAACTGCTTTTTTGCCTATAAGAGCTTTCTCTCACATATGTCAGTTCGAAGAGTATGTGAGAATTCTGATAACTTAAAATAAGAAAACAGAGAAACTTAGATTTGTATTAAAAAAAACAAAACATTAGTAGAGTATTCAAAGCTTCAGCTGAACATTAAAAGGTATGAGAACAGGTATGAGAAATCAAAAATTTTTTGCTTTAAAGTTCATTTATAGATTTGGTCAACTATACGATTTTGTTATCTCTGGATAAGATATGAGCCAGATAAAAAACTCTTAAAAAAAGTTGGAGTCCTTAACAGAGAGATATGATTTTTAAAAAAATTTCTCTGGATAAGATATGAGCCAGATAAAAAACTCTTAAAAAAAGTTGGAGTCTTTAACAGAGAGATATGATTTTTAAAAAAATTTCTCTGGATAAGATATGAGCCAGATAAAAAACTCTTAAAAAAAGTTGGAGTCCTTAACAGAGAGTTATGATTTTTAAAAAAATATAGTTTAGGTATTTTATTTTATAAATAGGTTCTATAAAATATTTTGCGTAAGTTAATAGTTTAATATGTGTATATGCATTAATCATACTGCATGCACAAAAAAGAATATACAAATATCAAAAAAAAAAGATTAAATTAAAAAAAACATTAGCACTTTAAGAAACTTTACTGTTGTGATCTCTAACATTCCCTCATTCTGTCTTAAAACCTATATTTTTATGTAACTACAACTCTATCTATCACTGTGTCTCACTCTTACCATAGTTACATTGGTAAGAAATGTGATTTCTTACACTCTTCATTTGAGCAAATAGTTTGAGCATTTAGTACAATTAATTTAAAATTAATAATAATTTAAATCTAATATAACTAAGCCTCTTATTTGGTTTTTTCAATGCTTTGTAGGAAACCTTTTAAAACTGTGAGTTATTTTTACAATATTTATACAAATACAAAAATAAAAGGAAAACAAATTGGTGTGATAAACATCAATTTAAATATTTAATTAGATTTAATAATTAAACTTGATCAAGTATAAAACGATTTTAAATGATTTCTGTATACGATATAATTTAGACAAATTGAAAATGCATTTAAATTATTTACATATATAGTTATTCTTCTTTCTTTAGTTAAAGTATAACCTTCGTATGGACGGCTTAATACTATTTATGGCGAATTATAAATGCATATAAACATCTATAAATCTATAAACATATAACTTAATTATTTATAAACATATTATTGCATATTGCATTTCAATGCAAACATTCATACACCGAGTTAGTTGTATGTCTTATTATTGTATTTGGCATGGTAATGTAGCCAATTTGCAAAGGTACTTATGATTTGTTGTTCTTTATATGATTTCTTAAAATTGCGCATAGTAAGAAAATAAGATTCCTGTCCAGATTCCTATCAGCATGCACTCATTCAGATTTTAAGCGTTTTGCGACATGGTTTGGATTAATGTTAGTGTTGTTAATAAAATCTAATTGATAGTCAAAATCAAAGTCTACATCTTTTTGCTGAAAATATGATTATGAGAGTAATTGTATAAAAATTGTGAAATAAAATTTTAAACTTACAAAACTCACCAGCCGATCGCAAATGACAGCGATAGCCGTTTTTTGTTGTGCCTCTGCAATCTTGTGTTCCACTAAGTAGAACATATACTCATCGTAGAGTAAACGTATCAAGTGGAAACTACCAAAACTAGAAGCGGAACGCAATGTTAAATCTCGTATAATCATCGAACTATAAAAACTCCAATTGAGTAAAAATTGACGTGCTGCTTTGGGATAACTAGGCTTTCCATGATAATCCTCCAAAGCTGTATCAACAGCAAGTTGTAACCATGCAGCCCATTGCTCTAAAGTGCTTTGCTGTTGCAGTGCAGCTTTAAAATCATTTTCTAAACGTTGTACCAGACCCGTTTCACACTGGCAAACCCATGAAGCTTGTTCCTAAATTAAATAAAAAAAATTTTATAAGAATACGACATTCATTTATTTAAATTTATAAAGTAAATAGAAGATATTATATATATATATATATGCTAAATATATTTATTTTATAATACACTTTAAATGCATACGGTAATACAATAATTAGTCGTAATTTTTTGTCACTAGATGGTGTTGGTTTCTAAGATAAGATAAGAAATAAACAGGGTTATAATAAACCGGCTCCAAACGCGGAGCATCGTCACCATAGTTGATCATTTGATTTGCTGCGGACCCTAGCCGAACAGAAGATATATTCCGTCCTTAGAATAAAAGCCAAAATGTCAGTCCTTGAGAACATTTTAATTTTAGAAGGGGAAAGTAATTCTTGACCCAGTGACCTCCACCTGACCAAGATCAAGGCTGAACAGTCACAGAGAATGTGACTGGAAGTCTCGTCTGCTTCTAAGCAGAATCGACAATCTCTCTAGAAACAAATCTATTTTGTTAATGTAAAACATATACGTGTTTGAAAAGGAACCTTTGAGGCAATATTTTTTTTTAATATACAAGAATAAAGTTATAGTCATTTATCGATTGAAAGAAGCGTTTGAACTTAACGAAAATTACCGGTAACAGAATCAATGATCTTAATTACTTTTATATTAATTTTTTAATGTATAGTAGATGGCCACATAACTATCTAAAACAATGCTTAATAATAGAGGACCACAACAACTTTGCAGGCAATTACAAGCAAGAGTTGTTGAAAGCTAGTGGGTCGTGCTATAAAGCTCTGTAATTGTTTCTCATAAAATGTCATTAAAAATAGCAGGCCTCCATCAATTAGTTATATTGGTCAGGCAGTTAACAGTTGGTGTATATGATATTGTTGTAGTCCACCGTAAACGTGGATTGCTAGCTGTCCAATATGACAAAGGGTATAGGGTTTTTAGTCACATTTCTTATCATTGTGCGACTTTTCTCTGTGCTAGGAGGATATCGACTAAAAATTCTTATCCCATTTCAATCAGCAACTTATCAATGAAAATATATTCTATGTATATTCTTCAATAGCAGAAGTAACAGTAGTTTTTACCACTATATTATATCTAAATAATGGAAGGATATATCAATGTATAGAAAGTACTGAGAGTATGCAAAATAGAAGATTCGTTAGATTGTGTTGCATAAAATCATTCACATTACAGATATTTCGGTCTACCATCTCCAATGTGCCATAATTAATAAGAGAAGCATAAAATCGCAACAATAATCAATAACATTTTGGTCTACCAAAGGAACGGAGTACTGCGACCATGCTAGATTTTTAGTGATAATTCTTTCACTTTCCGATTGATTAAAATTTTTGGTTCAATGTAGCTCAATTATACTTAAAATAAATATATGACTTACCTGTACATTACGAAAATCAACTCGATTCAAATCATTCAACATTTGTGATATTTGAGAACTATTTTGTAGTACAGCTCGTGCTGCCTGTGCTAAATGATTTAAGGATGTATAACGACGTAAAGTTTGACAAAATGCTGATACCGTAGATGTTTTTATTTGAACCAGACGTTCTGGTATACCAGCCATTGATTCACACAACCAAAGTTCCATATTCTTAGCAAAATTACGTATGGCCTGAGTTAAAGCATTTGGAATGGAACGTAACACATCCGGTATAATAACATCAACCATATTTTGATAAAATTGATAGTCTACCTATTATATCAAAAATTATATTAGAAAATTTATTAAAAAAACAAAATATATTTATATATATACCATATTTTAAAAACTTACTTCTTGTATAAATTTGTGTATTTCCACACAATGAAAGAGTAAATATAATTTAGTTTTACTTAAATATTTTTCTTCATCACATTCATCCATATTATTATTATCTGATGAACGCCAAAAATCACGCCAGACTAGTTCAATGGTATTGAATTCCAAACTGACGACTGCATCCAAAAAAGCTTCACAATGATCACGATACATTGCACGAAAGGTTTCAACATCATCCTGAGTTAGTTCACTGTTAAAGGTGTTATCCAGTTCAATAGGAGGAAAAGTTGGTAATACGCCAGCGCCATTACCCAAATACTAAAAGTTATATTTATGATGAAAATAATTTATAAATAAAGCGATATACATTTTTTATATATAATTTACAGAAATTAAATAAAGAGGTTTTTTCGAACAGTAGTGAAATACAACAACAAAAATTTATTTTTTATATTATTATATTATTAGAATATTTTATATTATTAGAAATTAAATATATTTAAAAAAAAATTATATTTATATGGAATTTGGATCATACATTTTCGCACGTTTTGAAAGTACAATGCAATTTATAATAGATATGGGAAATTAATTAAATTATATTTATTATTTTTACTTAAAAATAAAAATTAATTAAAACATTTAATTATATTGCTTTGCTTTATATATATTTAATAACTTTCTTTATGTTACTTTTACTTATAATCTAACATTAATGTATATTGTTATTTTCTTTAAATGGTATTTCTAGTCGAATTATAACCTCACTAGCGTTATATATGGTGAAATGTACTTGAATTTTTCAGCATATACTAGTTGTATTATGGTCTGTGTTGAAAATAATTCGGAAAGCAATTTTAATTTCCACATTTCAAAATTTTTAGAACTGTGCCATTTATGATCTTTACAAATAGATTTTACGATTTTATACAGCAACCAGTTATTTTTTTAAGGATAAATTGAAGAAATTTTATTTTGTAGTATATTATAGTTTACTATAACATTGATATCCTTCGCAAATATTAAAGGTTTCTGTTTTGGACAATTTTATACATACATCCCTGTTTTCCGATCTTAATCGAAGAATTATTCCGTTGGTGCAAATTACTACTAGTATTATTGCTCTTACTGGTAGTTGAAGACTTCTATAAGTATAGTTCACCAAACACATCATCCGCGTACACAAGATGAAGAAAATGTAATTATAGAATTGCTTTAGTTGCTTAAAGATGTATACTGATTTTAAAATATTCTGTTTATTTCAAGGCATAGATATTCGACGTAATACTTATTGAAGAAGTTGTTATTGATTTTCTAGAAGAGAATATTAGAGTGCTATTAAATCCTCCCAATCTAATACAAATATATCTTTACTTTTTAATTTTTTAGATGGCATCCTTGGTGAATCAGAAGTAGGTTCGACAATTTTCCGAGGACGTTTTTGTCCATATTTAACATATTTGGGATATACACCATTTTTTTCATTTTCTTCGATTGTTTTCATAAAGTATGCTAGCGATTTATCACTTGTTTCTGCTACTTCACCATTGGTTTCCAGTTTAGAGTCATTGGAACCATCGTTTGCAGACATTTTAGATTCTAATAATTCTAATGTCGACTTTGTTGCTTTGTTGTTGTCAGACATATGAAATTCTCAAGATTAACAGGTAAAATAATATAACTTCTGCCTTTTACTTGAAGCGCAAAATTAATATGAAAAACTATACACTTGCTTAATATTAAACGCGCGAAAAGAAGAAAGGTATAACAGAGAACACTATATAAACACAAAAATTTAGAGTGAAATATCACTTAAACGTAACTTTTGGCAGATTTTACTACTAAAGCATAGAAAAAATAGAAACTTATTTTTTATCTGCATATGAACAAATTTTTATACTCGCGACTACTTGCTTTTCGGCAAAATATAATTCGCACAACTCGTTATTGTTTACTCGTAAAATAAAATAAAACGGTAAACAGAATGTGTTGAAATAAGGCAAACCGAATACCGCAAGAGCGAGTACGAGACTTGTATGTTTTATATTTAAAGTGAGTAAAATAGAATATGAGTAAATATGTACTCGAGGGAACGAATAAATCATACTCACGACACTCACGACAAGATAAAATGTCTTGAATAAAAATTTGAGTAAAATGTATGGTTGCCATAAATGTATATATGTATTTGTTCCTATGTGTGTTTATAAGTGAAAAAAGTAGTAAAGCAGAGTAAAGCAGGATATGGAAATATGTATTATTGATATATTTGTATATGTGTGTGTATATTATGTGCTGTGTCCACGGTTGCCACTTGAAAATTTTTTCCTGTACCAAAATTGGTTTAAAAAGGTACCATTTCTGTAAAAAAAGGTCCAACATTTTTTTGGACCTTTTTATTTTTTCGTTCTGTTTTTTTCTAAGTGTTATAAATGAACAAAATATAAAATAGTGCAAAGTTGCATTTATAAAAAAAATTATTTGGAAATATCCACAATAAAGTTGGGTCATCAAAAATGTACCATTTTTTGAACATGAGTACCAAACGAAAAAAAAAGTACCAATTTTGGTACTAAAGTACCATAAGTGGCAACCGTGGCTGTGTCTTAGCTCGCTTTTAATGCATAGTTCTTTGTATTGTTGTTTGTGATATTTTTTTTGAATCGTAGTTTTTGTTGTTGTTTTGTAGTGTTGTTGGTAATTAAAAAAATGTATTTATCACAATTGTACCACAGTTGTATAATCTGATATTAAAAGAAATATCAAAAATATAGGAATATTAAAACATGTAATTTGCCTATGATAAAATTACAATCATGAATTCTGAAAAGGTACACGCAATACTGTAAACATGACTATTCAAACATAAAAATAATCGAGAAATTAAACCAATAGCGAACGCAATATATTTTGTTTAGACAAAACCATATAGAAAAAACTCTAATATCAGAGCAAATGCACACGAAGTAGGATCTTTTGGTACGGAATGGACAGACAAACTGCAACACTTCCCAGCAGCGCTTGGGACTAGTTCTGAACCAGTGAATTCACTAGTCGCCAGGTGTATAGTACAGTATTGTGAAAGAGACATCATATTAAAAACAAGAGAACGAAGCATAATGCTCTCAATTTGTTTATAAAAAACAACATAAGCAGTGGATTTTTGTTTCAACTGGTGAATCGTATTACCAGGGCTCAGAATATGCACTACTTAAAATAAATAACTCTAATATGTAGTTGAGTTTCTTTGTTCCTCATTTGTTTTGGTTTTCTTAATAGAATGCACTATTAAATTTTGTACAAAAAAGTATTGAGAAATTTGTATATTCTAAGTGGCGATTTAACTCATCCCCACGGACCACTCACGGACTACTTTGTGTTCTAGTGGCTAGCGACAATTGCGGCCTTAAGAACTGCTGGTTTATTCTTATATTATTTGTTATTGCACATTTCCTTAATGGCTTTGTATGCGAGGGTAAGTGAGGAATTATTGTTGAAGGTGATGCATGGACTTAGTTTTTGTATTTTTTTTTACTTAGAATATACGATTCCAGGCTTTGTGTGCATGGAATGATAAAATTTTATACAGACCTCATACAAAAATATGATATATGCGTATTATGAGAGAAGTAAGTACCGACAGTAGCACAACCATAGTTGTTGTTAGTATAAATGCTATAATATGCCCTATAGTAGCAATGACATAATGAAGTAAATTAATCAACACTACGTTCTTTAATATTGAATTATACTTTATATTTTAAGTTTTCAATATTATTTAATTAAATCATATAAAATAGAATCATTAAGTAAAATTTTATTACTTAAATCATATAAGTAGATAGAAGTAGTTAAGTAATATAGTAATATAGAAGTCAAATTAATAGAATTATTAATTTTTTTTAAAACAATTAATATGAATGAATAAATAATATACTAACTGCTACGGAGTTAGAGCTGGCCAAGGTTACTTAATTTTTCTAAGCTGTTAAAAAATTGTGAGAAATGTTATTACGAGTTGGACATAATATTACAAAAAAAAACATTCTAATTTTATACAGAAATGATATAAAGAGTATTTATTGGTATTAGTAGCTTTAGAGGAAATTTTCAGTAAAACACAGTTATAAATCGAGTCAGTAGTAAATGGTTTCATTATGGCCGTGTGCGAGTTCGAGTAAATTGAGGTAAAGTAAATTGAAATTACCTAGAGATTTTTTGCATTGCACTTATGTAAATATTTATTTATTGCACTTATTTAATATTCTATGTCAAAAGTTTACAACCCATTACAGTATACATAATATATGTATATTTATGACATGAAGTAATGGATTGGCAGAGTGATGTGATGTGATGAAAAGATATTATAACTTGGTGCGCGATATGGATGGTGATTTTTATGACACACAACGTAAAAATAATTTAGACAATAGCAAATAGTAGAAACAATATATTCCCCAATATATTTGATGAAAACATTGCCTAAGTATTTTTTTTTATATAAATATGATGTGAGTTATTTCTTGAAACTTCAATCAAGTTAGTTACTGAGTTATCTCTTGAAACTTTAATCAAGAGATAACTAACAATCCCTTGAATTTTCAATTGATGGTCCTTTCAAACAATCGCTTTGCTAGTTTTAAGTTTGTGTTTCAAAACTTTCAATACGGCTTTCGGATTAATCGGTGTTATTGGTGTCTACGAAATAAAGTCAAGAAATAATATATAACTATATTTATGAGGAAGAGTTTCCGTAAATTTATCAAGTCATGCTTCTGCTTTAACAGTGTTCTTGAAGTAAATTATAATCAGAGTACTAAATTATTTTCTCTTCACTTTTTAAAAATATATATAAATAACAATAATATAATAAAATTACATTTTTAGTAAAATACTATTTCGAAATGGCAAAATGAGTTTTTTAATTGAAACAAATTAGTTTTAGTTAAACTTAGAAGAGATAACTTTAAATAAATAGTTCTGAAAACTGGAATTTAGAAAAAAATAATTCCTAAAAGTGAGTTTTTAGTATTTTTATTTGGTATTAAAACGGCTTTATATTTTTAGATATATTTGTTTATTTTATATCGTCGGCTTTTTTAAATTTTCTATATTTCATCATCATTTATACCTATCATTAATTTTGTTCTAAACTGTATGCATTTGATCTTATAGAAAACAATGTCTTCATTTGCATCCTGCTTTTTTATAACATATATATTTTTTAAGGAATGTAGTATTATAAAGTTTGATTTAAAGTAAAAGTTGTAAATTGTTAAAACATCTAATACTTTGTATTATTTCTTCCTCAATTTATAATTAATAAAATCATTATTATTATTAATAACTTCAGTTTAGTTAATTTTTTCACTTGTTTGTATTAAAGAAATTTATTTTTACACTTGAGTACATTTTAACACTGAAGATGATACACTTAATACACAGTTTTTCATTAGTTTCCCTATGAAATAATTTTTATTAACAAAAATAATCATAATATTAAAAAGGGATGTATCTATTCAACAAGAGTATATCTTATCCATTTCTGCGTATAACAAAATGCATAAGCAATAGGTGTCATGATTATAATATACATAATATATATTTTATCTTTGATCAAGACATTTATTTTGTCTTAAAATTGTTCATACGATTTAAAAAATTCACTAGAATTCATATTAAAAGCATCGTCGGTAAAAATTACCGAAAATTTGCACTCCAACCACTACTAAAATGACTTACCTGTGCACATGCCTCATAAGATTCCGGCTTAATGATATTTTTCTTTGAGCTTCTAGTACTATTCATTGTACTGCCACTTGACATAACAGTTCCACTGTTAACAGCATTTGAACTGCTACTCTGCAACTGATAGGAAATTTTCTCATCCATTACATCAACCAACATTGAACCGGGTTTAATGCGAATTCCATAATAATGATACTTTGAATTACCGCGCGTACCCAGACGACGTGTGCGTAGACCGGAGAAGACAGAACGTATTAATTTGCCAAAACTGGCTGCATTTACTGGCTCCAATTTATTTTCATTACAATGTTGCATGTAATGATTGTAGAGAGTGGAACGTGGCAGACTGACACCTTCGGCAGTCTCATAATTACGTGAAAGCCATTTGATCTAGAAAATATAGAGACAATATTTATAAAGAAAATCATTGGTAACCGAAATAAAAAAAAAATAATAAAATAAAAAAATTAAAAGTAAAATAAGTGATAACAATTTGATTTACAAAAAAAATAAAACAAAAAAAAAACAAAAAGGGTAAGATGCAATAGGTAGAATGCAACACTGTTGTTGCCCGGTTACTACCAGAGATGTTATGAAGAAATTTCGTAATGCGCAGCTGACATTTTTTTAAATATTGTACTGTTATACTGGTTATCATGCTGTGGGCGTTTTCAATTTTCTTACCGTTGCCGAGGCGATTTTATTTGTATTCCCCAAAGTATTTTGTTCACTTTCTGGTGATGCACCACCGCCACCGGTACCAATGCTGCCACCACTTAAAGAGTTTGTCGTTGTGGTTGAAGTGGGTGTTTGCGGTTTGCTGTGTGCTTCATGCAAATAAGTCACTTCCTGCAATTTTACAAAATATTTCTCATAAATATATTGGTTCTTTCATATTGTAATAAAATAATTTTTGGAATTTATTATTGCTTTTACCGTACCGTAAGACTATGCGGTGAATCCTGACTATGCGATTGTGATGAAGAATTCAACAACAATGTCTCTTCAACCGGCACCAGATATGGTAGTGTTGATGCATGTGTTGTTGGTGTATTGGTCGATGTAGTGCCATAGTTGCCAGACGTTGTTGTTGCGTAATAGGTTTGTCCATTTGTTTGATAATCGCCAACTGGACAGAATGGATATGTCCTGTATGAAAAATTCAATTCAATATGATCAAATTAATTAAATTAATTTAAAAACAATTTGTTGTTTATTTACATTTGAGTTTGACTGGAATTACTATGATATATCTCAGAATCCACATATTGTACTTGATAGTTTGGACCAGCATCTTGAGCGGAAACTGCAAATTGAGAACAAGTATTTACAAATGGTTAAGTAGATACAAAAGTATTAATCAATATAAAGGAAATGGTAAATGTTTTTAATAAATATTTAATCTTTATCCAAATAAACTAAAAGTAATATAATTTCGTCAATAAGAATTTATCTGAACAATTTAATAATATATTAACTTGTTAATTGGGTATCTACATTGGCAAGATTTTGGCAATATTTTTATTTTTGAATGCGAATACGGAGTATTAACGAATTTTCACTAAAGTGAGAAATCATCTCAAAAGTCTAGTCATTCTAGGCCTTGGATAAAGATTTATCAGTTATACATTTGAACATTTCTTAATGAGAGTTTTGAAAATAACAATTTGCTTACTTTAATGAGAAAAATAATAATAATAATTATTATAATACAAATAATAAATATTATATATTATTATTACAAATAATTATTATAATACAAATATTATACCAATAAATTTATGGAATTTTTCGTGATTCATTCTCTTGTGTAAATAATTAAATAATGTATGTGTATGGGATATATATATGTTCAGGGATAATAAGCTTTTTTGATTGCCGCATGCTTTTCTCGGCTCTCCAAAAGTCAGTTAGGTTTGGCTAGTACATGTCCCGATGTCCATAGCAGAGTAACAGAATTTCTCGTCACTGAGAAGATTAAAACAGTTCCAAACCAATTCCGATTGGAATGTGAATGTCATTAGTGATTTCAGAGCTATTTGACTGTCTTAAATCTACATAGCAGTGTTTTATTTCTTCATCCTTTATAACATGTCCATCTAGGTACTTCTTTCGCTTATATAATAGAGCTGAGGAAACTCCCAACTTGTATTGAGATCACAGTATATATATATATATATATATTGATATTGCAACATTTAGTTATAGTTTATGTAGTTATATATTGACATTATAAAAAATTATAATTATTATTGGACTGAATACATTTCTACATTACATCTTAAAATAATAACAAATAATATAAAAAATGCTGAGCACATGCCATCAAATGGGTCTTTCATTCACTGTAATTTTTAAATTATTTAATGTGAGCGATACATCACAAAGTAATTAATAATATAGTTATACAATAGATTTTTTAATCCAGTAACAAATAGATTTCTCGGCACTAACAATTTCTAGTTATTTTTGTGAGAAAATTAGTTTCCAACCTGACGTAGTAATTTTTAGTATAAAATTTCGATTTCTCTGTCCCAGTAAGACTTGTTGCAAATTTTTGGTTGAAAATCGATTTCTTGGCACTAATATTTCTTTGTAACTTTTTATGGAAGACCGATACCTCTGTGCCATGAACTTTTGAGACAATCAATTTTTGGTAACTACAATTGGAAAACTAATATATCGACACTATCAATTCTTAATAACTCATAGTGAAGATTTCTTCTCTGATACCATTAGTTGTTTATAACTCTGTGTGGAACACTAATCTCCAGATGCCAATTATAAGTAACTACTTTAAATCTGTGACAATAAGTTCACTTAAGATGTACAATTACATACTACTAATTGATTTAAAACAATATTCCACTTCTGATTTTAGCGAGTAAACTTAAATGATAAGGACGTTTTATTACAACTAATTTCTTTATTGATTACTACATTAGGGAGTTTTGTGGTTTCAAATTAACTAAGCTCATCAGGATTATTGACACTTAAAATAACCAATATTTGGCGATGAGCTATGTTATGATGAAATACTTCCAACACTTGCTATTCTTAAGCTCTTCTTCCGATCTTAACCAATGCACTAAGTCAACTGTTTTGTAATAGGTTTAAAGATAACATATGACTTGGGATGTACTAGATTGGTTGGCTGTTGGTATGTCCAAACTTGATCTACTTGCTGTTGTGAATAAAAGTAAGGTTTGTATGTTTCGTATTTATAAGAAAAGTATATCGAATTAAAAATGTGAATATAAAATGGTGCTGTTACTGTGAATGCCTACTTCAGCAATTACAAACAAATGAGTTATAATGTAAATTAAACTTTGTTTGAAATTATCCTTAATATATAATAGCCTTATAAATTTGATAGATGTTCCTTTGCAGTATATTATCATACATAAAAAATACGATTAAAAAATATATGTACAACAGAGCTTCGGATGTCCGTTGGATAATTATTTTTTATTGCATTTTTTACTTTAAGTAATTACATTTATTATAAATGTAATTTATTGAAAGCAAGATTTAAATTATAGTGGCATCATACATACAAAGAAATATTGACTTTTAAATTAAAGCACAATTAAGAAGTATCACTACTATCACTACTAAGTGATAGTAAGGAATTGGCAACTCTTGATCATCTGTTCAACATGCTTTTATGGGTATGACCAGAAAGAGAGTAATACTGAAATTATTAATCATACAACTGACTGCATAACATGGCCCCTGGGAACCGGCGATCTATGTGTTGTCTCTTCATTTAATAAATATAATTTTTAATATTTATTAAAATTTATTTTTTAATCAAATTTATTTAACTAATAATATATTTATATTATTCAATTTTTATTTATTTTATTAAATAAATTTATTTAGGTTTATTAGGTATTATTTTAAAATATATTCATTTTTAGGATAGAATATTCAATTCTTCAATCATTAAATTTTATTACATACTTTATGCCATTCAAAAAAAATAAAAAAATCAAAAGTTCTAGATTCGTTTTCGGTATATAACGGTATACTGTCATTATAACCATAGCGACTATTAGTTAAAATTACTTCTAATTGTGTTAAAATATATAATCAGATAAAAAATGTATACAACAAACTTACTAAAAATGTTATAAATTTCTATTGACATAGTTGAGAAATTTTATTAGAATTACTTGCATAACACGAACGTAGTCCTATTCACAAATATTAACGAATCACCGTAATTACCCGAATTTAAAACGTTGACAAATTGAGTAAAATATAAAGTTTTGAAATGTCAAATCGAGTGCTGCCACCTAATATAAAATTCAATAAAACAATTCATACGATAATAGATGTATGACTTTTACTTTAGGTTAATAATAAATAATTTATAAATATCAAAACGATTAAATCAGAAAAATTTATCTTAACTTAAAAAGAATATAAATAAAGATAGCAAGGTTTTATTTATTTTATTCAGCTATAATATAATAATATATAATATATACAGTATAGTATATATACAGTATATAAGCCCTGTTTTGAACTATTATTATGTATTGATGCCAATTGATTTTATATATATTTGAGTTTAATTTTTGTGACCTCAATACAAGTTGGGAGCTTCCTCAGCACTATTATATAAGCGAAAGAAGTACCTAGATGAACATCTTATAACGGATGAAGAAATAAAACACTGTTTTGTAGATTTAATACAGTCAAACAGCTCTGAAATCACTAATAGCATTCACATTCCAATCGGAATTGGTTTGAAACTGTTTCAATCTTCTCAGTGACGAGGAATTCTGTTACTCTGCTATGGATATCGGGACATCAGGTCCATGAAGACAATGAAATGGTGAATGCATTAGCCAAACCCAACTGATTTTTGGAGAGCCGAAAAAAGCATGCGACAGTCAAAAAAGCTTATTATTCCTGAACATATAAAAGCTGAAGTTATTCTTATCTTTAGCAAAACAAACTACACGGAACTGCTAACAGATTGCTGCCGATTCTGCAGGAAAGCGTTGGCAAGCAGCAGGAAATAAGATGAAGAACTAAGAACTAAGAATGAATTATGATAAAAATCGAAAATCAAAATAGTGTTGCCATGATTTTAAAAAAAATTCAAACAAACTATTCTGAATTAATTATTTTCACTATTGCTGTTATTATTTTTTCTTGAACTAAGTACAGCACTGACGTTATGTGAAAGTGGAGTGAAGAATTTTTTTTTCATAGGTGATATCACTTTATACGGAGATAACATTACGAACTTTCCTAATAGATGTCGACTTTGAGCTTAAAACCAGTTACCAAAACTAGTTACCATATAAAATAAGACACAACTAAGTTCTAACTTTCACTGAAAGTTAGCTTCGTTTAATACGTTTTCCTGAATTTAATTTACCGTATTAATTAAAAAATTTATTTTACTTTTAATTAATTATTTTATTATATGGAGTACATTTTTTAACGCTAATGTCTTTGTTGTTCTAAAACATTTTGTAAACTTTTAAATTAAGACCCCAGAACTTTTAGCCGATTCTATCAATCAAGTTGAAACAATAATATCTATAAGGCAATATTTATTTATTAAGCAAATTTTATATATCTGATTTATTTATTTAGAGTTTTGTGTCTAATTTTTATTAATATTATTGTAACATTTGTATGCTATTTATTTATTTATCTTATAATGTTTTTTAATTATAATATAATCATCATTTAACCCAGTTCATATAATATATATAATCTGTTAAAATGTTTTTTTTTTAAATTTATTTTATGAAGTTATTATTTAAATAAATACCACCAACGTTTTGAAATATTTTTGATTAGTACCTCAGGGCAGAGTTTTTTTTACAATTCGATTTATGAAAATCCTATTATCAGGTCAGCATATACAGAATTTTAGGAGTATCATTATCTATCATATTGTCTCTATAATCTTCCGAATATATTTAATAAGTTTTGATAATATATATCAATCCTTTAAAATACGAATTATCAATTAAAATATTTAAATTAGACAAAGCTCTATATATAGAGATAAAATAAAAAAACTGTTGGCAAATTGAGAAATTAGTAGACGAATAAAATAATTAAGTTCACTGAACTGGGAATGTTATAAGAAAATATAGGCTTCTACCATTTGTGATGATTTGAGCGACATGACGGTTACTCCCATTAGTGGCTTTCGTGTTGATATTAAAGTTAAATATTAAAATGAGAAAGTATATAAAAAGAAATTTGTTTTGAAATCGTGGACAATCAAATATATTCGTTATAGAGAGTGGACATATCAATAAAATTCTCCATCGTTACAAAAAGTACAGGATAATTTAAAAGGTTAAGAGACAACGTTTCAAAATAGTTTCCACATTTACTAGTTGTAAATCTGCATTAGTTCTCAGTATAAGAAATTTTGCAGGGTAATTGTTAAAAAATAAAAAAAACACTAATATAATAAGCTTCGAATTTATACATTATACCCTATGCTATATGTTGTTATAGCTTAGTTCTTGAGATATTCAGGAATTGTGTTGGAATTCCTTTTTCGTTAGCAGATAAGGATTCCGCAATATTTAGGATTGCGAAATATGATCGCAGGTTCATATTTAAGCAATCTGCGAATTGTTTTTGATACACTTAGAGCCGTATATCGGACTATAGCCCGCTATTCGAAAATGAATTTAGAATATTTAAATGTTTTCTTTTTTTTTTTTTTCTTCAATAAAATTTTATTTTATATCAAAATATAACCAAGGTGTTGACCACACCTTGGGCTATTTTATATAGAAGTCATCAGTGCCTACTTCTGTTTATTTTCAGAAATCAATAAATTAAATATAATATACACAATAAAGCAATATGATAAGATACTTTCAAAAATATATTTATTCTATGAATTGATTCAGTAATTAATCCTAGTAAATATAAATTATTTTGTCTATTTAATATGTATCTAAAAAAATTTGGTGTTATCTAGAAATAGTTAATAAATTTATTCTAACTTGAATAGCTATTCTAATGTAAGTGATTAAATCTTCTGATCTTCTGATAAGAATTATGTCTTACAGTCTGACAGTGCTTATATCCTCACAAAGTTTAAAAACGCTTTATAGCTAAGTGAACCAATATATATTTAAAAAAACTATAATAGTTAAATAGTCCGTTAAATGTTTTTATTTGAATGGATTTTTTTGGGCTGATCCAAAAATATATAGCATTCGAATTCTTACTTTTGTATATATTAATTAAATCAATTAATTTAAAGTTAATATGGCGTTTCCTGAGGATATCAAAATAACTTTTGCGATATATGGTTTTGAAATCCTTAAATTGTAGAAAATCCTAAAAGAAATTATGTATTCTATATATAATATGATGTATTATATATAGGTTTTAATAACTCGATATTCTTACTTCTGTTTGTAAAATGAATTAACTTGAACCTGACGGTATCAAAACAAAATCTTCAACTATTGCGATATATGGTTTTTAAATCCTTAAATTGAAAAAAATAAATTGTCTAAAATGAAGTCTAGACCCACATATTAAAATTATGTATTCTATATATAATATGCCAAATCCATTCGTACAAAAAAATCACTGAAATGTTTTTTTACATTATCTATCGGACCTTGAAATGTTTAGAGGTATAATCACAGTTTAATTTCAATATAACGATTTTTAACTTTACATATATCACACATTTTAAATTAATTAATAATCACTGCGATTATTGGAGTGACATCGATTGCATGTCACTTTCCCAATTAAAGGGCAATTTTATACTGAAAATATCTATAAAAAAGAACAAATTATTTACCGCCACAATAGGATAAGTTGTTATGGCGCCGGTACATGGTAGCTGTAGTTGGAGATGTTGAATTCGGAGAAGAGGAACACGAGGAAGATGCAGAACAAGTGGTATAACTTGAAGCTGTGGCAACAAACGTTTGGTGATGGTGATGATGATGATAGTGGTGATGGTGTAAATGATGTGGAACTGTATGCTGTTGCTGTGAATGCGTTTGGTATTGTAGTTGAGTTGGAGGCAATTGTTGTTGTTGATGGTGCAGCAATTGTTGATGGTGATGATGGCAATTGTTTGTTATGTGATGCAACTTACAACGACACTTGTCCAAGATATTATAATTTGTAGTAGAGACGTTTAAATGCTGCAAATGGCGCTGTTGATGCTCCAAGTTAAGTCGTGAATGCATTCGTTTATTTTTTTATTAATTATTTTGATTTGTTAGATTTCGTCGTAAGTCGTAATTTTTATATATATTAATGAAATAGTAAGTAAGTAGATTAAAAGCAAATTTATTGAACAATTTTGAAAATTAATAGATTTATTAAAAATGAATTGATAGTTCTTATAAGTCGTAATATTTTAAGTAAGCGAGTGTAACACGAAATCGGACACCGTGACTCAATTTCATCGCACAAAGGTCGAGGCTCATCTGTGGTATCACTATGGGTGATGGAACACTTTTAAATGTCGAAATTTTGTGCTACCAAAAAAGTTGTTTACTTACTGGCAATAATAATAACAAGCACAACATAAAAATATACCCAAACGATATCAGAGCCATATTGAGTAAATAAATACGCATTTAGTTGAAGTTTGCTATCTTAGGTGCATCACTACTAGTTACAAATACAGCCATATCACTTGTGTTGGTTCTTTGTGGCAATTATGAAACAAAGTTATCAGAGTAAGCGATGTGTTAATAAGTATTAAATTATTTATACTAAGTGACAAATGTACACAATGCTAAAGTACATAAACAGGAACAGTAGGTTCGACGACGGTAATAGTGGTAGCAGGAATAGGAGCGATTCACAAACAGCAAACAGTAGTATCAATGGCAACCGATTGACCGACCGACAAACCAAACGACCGAATTAGCGACCGACCGATAGATGTCAGCAATATGGCGCACTTTCTACGTTCTTAATATGGACCGTGACATCAATTGGTACAATCTCATTCCCTCATTCACTTTTATTGAAAAGTAAAAGTGAAAATTGCCGCAAACATAAAGCTCGAAGGTATAGATATGGCGTTGAAAATGTTAATATACATATATAGTAGTATATATATATATGTATAATATATATACCATAGGTATATGTATATTTTCTATAGCGTTTACACTGACAGAGAGCAGCAGGAGTTTAAAATTAAGCACTTGTCTGCCTAGCAACCGGAATAGATACTGTGACAACAACGTTGAACGGTAGAATTACAACTGAATCCAAAATCAAATGTTATCCTAGCAATATGCCTGCGACAATAATTATGTTGCTGTTGATGATGATAAGTATTTTCAACGAAAATTACGTTGGCGGCAGCAGCAACAACTACAACAATAACATCAATAACAACAGCAAATGCCATAAATGCTGCTTTTTCGGTCAACGACGTTGCGAGGATGCGTTGTTATGATTTGTGCGATTCGATGCCAACATCCACCACCAACACAACACCATCATAACTGCAATAGAGTACAATGGATTTATACCATACCACCCCACTACAGTACTGGCTGTAGGCTATAGAATCAACAAATTGTTGCGTTTCCAACACCACCAATCCAATCCATACAAACTGACTGAGCAAGCTACTCTACTCTACTTAAACTTTATAAGCAGCAGCACTCAACCCCTAATAAAATAATTTCGCAAGACCTGTAGAGAATTTAAAGAGAATATAAAGTCAAAAATGTCGGAAAACTTAGGCTGTAAAGGTAGATACTCTTAATATACCTACACATATAAGTTAAAGATTGACTTAGCTTGCAACTAGAAACGACCGTAGCGGTACTAACCAGAGGTGCAAATACTTTATACATCATACGGGGTACGTAAATAAAACATATAAATAAATCAAAACGTTTTTATTTTTAAACTTTATGCAGTAGCTTCATTTCATAATACAGCTTATTCCAAGCATCAACTTTACACCCACGGTTCTTATGTTCCACAAAAGCAAATTTAGAAAAAATATCACAAAACGAGAATATTTAAGCTTCATCAAGCATCCCCAACTGCAGTATAGCAGCGATTAAAATAATTTTAAATTTAAAGTGGATCATTTTGGAGAACAATCTCACCGACCTACCATTCCCATGTACTTCTTTCATCCTCACACGCAAACACACACACATATACAG